AAAAAGCCCATGGGTTAAAAAGCTTATTGCTTCAGGCGGTGCTGACCAGAAATGTGGAGCAGGCAACAGGAAGGGACCTGAAACAAAGGCCCCTGTCCTTGTTCTCTTTTGCCTCCTGACCTCACTGTTCCGCCATGTTCTTCAGCTATCATATGCTGCCACAGCCCAAAGCAACAATGCCCAAATAGTCACAGGTTATAAATCTCCAAAACTGTGAGATCACGTGCATTGATTTATTTCTGTGGGAATGGGGTACTTGTCACTGAGCCCCTCTGGATGCCAGAGGGTAATTTGTAGGAGCTGGTTCTATCTTTCCACTGTGTGGGTCCTGAGGATAAAACTCAGCTTCTCAGGATTAGCAGCAAATGATTTTATCCACTACTGAGCTATCTCACCTACCTAAGTCTTTTTATTTTTTGCTTATTTTTGCTTTTATCGTGGGTATTTATTATGATGATAGAGAACTCACTAACATAGAATTTAAGGCCAACAAAATATAAATTTAAAAGGAGAAGAAAAACTTTACTTAAAACCAGATAATCCAAATAAATTTATAACTATTAAATATACATCTATAATTTCAATTTCCCTCCCCCACAGGGAAAAATCTAGGCCTGAACACATTTTCCAATAAATTCTAGCCCCACATTTAAGGAAAAAATAATGAAAACATAATATAAGGTGATGGGAGAGATATTTAGTGGTTAAGATAGCACACTACTCTCAGGGAACCTGGGATCTATCATTATCCACTCTCAAGGTGACTCACAGCAGTCTGTACCTCCACTTCCACAGGATCTCATGCTCTTCATACCTCCAGAGGCACACAGAGTACATACAGATGGATATATTCAGGCAAGTCACACACAGAGTACATACAGATGGATGTATTCAGGCAAATCACACACACACACACACACACACACACACACACAAGATAAAAATAATCTGTTAAAAATTTTGAACCAAAAACTACAACAAAAAAGAAAATATAACTTAAGATTTTCTAGGGATTAAGAAAAAATGAGAAGTTTTTTCCCCACATATCTAACAAAGCCAGAATAAACCTGGTATTAAAACTAAAACAAAATAAGAAAGCATAAAGGTGGGCTACTATTATTCATTAACATAAATTCAAAACCAAACAGGTTTAGTAAATTTGAATTTGAAGATCCAGTGACATCAGAAGAGGTTACATAACACCAATCTCCTAACCACAGTTGGAAACTCAGGACCAAAGAACAGCCATATGCAGAGGGCATCTGGAGGAACAGAAGCCCAGGAGAAGGGAACGCACTGGGTAGATCTAACTCGCTGGTGTCCCACACAACAGCTCCCCTCGCTCAGACTTGCACATGAGAAGGAGCCTGAGATAAAGCAGCATGCTCGTTGAGCTCGGGATTCAGGTGTAGAGTCTGGGGCTGAGGGTGACTCGAACTTAAGAGACATCCTAGGCAAATGAAGGGGTTCCAAATTCTGTAGGAAAAAAAACGACTATTTCTCAAACCCTCAACTGTCCCCTAGCATCCAAACACCAGACAGAAACCAACAAAAGGTAGAGTGAGAAATTGGCATCTTTTCCCCTCTGGAGGCAGAGCTGGAATTCAATCCCTGAAATTTAGAGATAGCTTTCCTTCTCCTGTGGAAACAAAAGCAAAACCCCAACATAACACTTGTCCTGGATTATATTCTAAGGTCAGTAATGTTTAATGTATATCAGCTGATTTAATTCCGTATTTTTCCTACTATACAGTGTGTTTCTGCAGTTGTTGTTCCTTTCTCATTAGTATTTAGAAAATTCAAAGTTAATAAAGCATTATCAAGTCATTTCTGGTGGTCTTTGTCATTCCTTTCTGCTCATTTAACATATCCTTTAGAGTTCAATTTGATCTTTGGATAACTGCCTGACTTATAGAATTGTGTGGCATACTTATAATATGTTTTATATTATAATAAGCAATAACTATTTCATTTTCTTAGAGACATATGCTGGAGCATCATCTGTTTTTATTTGTACAGGAATACACAGGGTGGCCATAACTTCTAGCAAATGTGTGATTACCTAATCAGCCTTTTCTGAACTCAAAGTGCTGCCCATTGAAAATCTGAACAGGTATCAATAGTGTGGTGCACATATTTTAGCTTTCCAAATTCTATAAAACAGAACACATCTATTTGCCAGATTTCATTGCTTTGAGTACCCTTTGGGTTACTTCCCATAGGTAGTGGTATTTTGTATAAAGAACAAGTAAAACATTTCCTTACAATTTCCTTGGCTTGTGGTCACATAATGAAACATCTTTTATTTAAACCTTTGCTATTGACATGATTTTTTAATGAAATTCTGAGGCCTCCAGCATGTTTCCAATTAATAATTGATTGATTTATTCATTACCTTATGCTAGAGGGCCTGGCAGAACTGTATGAAATCAGATGTGTGTTATATATATGGGATGATTTCTATTCCTGATTATTTCTTGTAATTAAATAAATAATAAAGTTTATTATGTATCATCTAGTATAAATTCAGCAGTTTCGATATGCAAAACAATTCTTTCTGCATATTGCGAAACACTAACTATATTGAAAGTTTCCATAAAATCTATTAGTAGCATGAGAATAACATAATTCTGACTGTTGTACAAAATCATGAGAGCTTAGATCCACTTTAAATTTTCTGATTTGTAACCTGCCTTTCCTGGTTTATTTGCATCCCAGGCAGGGAGCCGTGTGTCAGGTGAAAGACCAGGATGGATAGGTACGCCATGCAGAGTGAGGTTGGATATTTATTTAGTGGGTTATGGATGGGAAGGGGAAAGGGAAGAAGGGGAGGAAAGGGAAGAGAAGAGAGGGAGAGAGAGGGAGGAAGGGGGGAGAGGAGAGGAGCCACTGCAGCAGCTACCTCTTTGGGACAGAGACAGACAGCAGGGAGGTCAGACTGGAAGGGGAAGGAAGATTTGCCTGCCTTGGCAGTGGGGGGGGGAGTGGGGGGAGATTTGTATCTTAAAAAGACAGGACAGACCATTACAGGTACAGGGAGAAGTATGACCAGAAAGCAGTTAAGCTTTGGATCCACAGGATACACATGTGCAATCTGTAAGTTCTCTTCTACCAAAGCCAATTCTCTGTCCGCTGCAGCTGATAATTTCCTAGGCCTATTTAAGTTCTTGTCACCATCTAAAGTTTTAATTTTAAATTAATCGGTTCATCATGTTTTATTCCAATAGTGAGTCATAGATAGGAAATGTCTCCTAGCAATCTTTGAAAGTCATTAAGAGTTTGCAATTGATCTCTCCTAATTTGTACCTTCTGGGATCTAAATTCTGTATACCTATTTTATAGCCTAAATAATTAATAGAATCTCCTTTTTTTCAGGAACAATTTGCAATCCCCAACAAGACAAAATTTTCCTTGTTTTTTTCAAACATTCTTCCTAAAGTATCTACATTTGAATCATATAGCAAAATGTCAGAGGCTTGGGGGGAAAAAAGAAAAGAAAGTCTATCTGGGAGGTTCAGGAGCCCCCACGTTCAGCTCCTGCTTATGCCTTTGCCTGTGACGTTTTTGTGAATTACTGCCTTTAAGTTGGGCACCAATATGTAGCAGGAATTCTAATAGACCTTAACAATAAAAGTCCAAAGTCAGATACAGGGTAAAATGCTGAGAGGCAGAGAGACAAAGGAGCAAAACCACTGTCACCTACTCAACTTCCTCCTGCATCATCACTTCCTCTCTCTCTGCGCAGCCATATCACTTTTTATATGTCTGTACAGACCTCCAGACCTCTATGGTCAGCTAGTAGCTAGCTTCACCCTCTGATCATCAGGTAAGCTTTACTTGTACAAACAAGATAACACCATACTTTGGTCCCACATTCAAGCTACACGTAGTCACCCATCTCCACACAAGTCCTATACATTCTTAAGACCTCGTCTTCTGACTGATGCCTGTTAGTCTCCTTCACGCTGCCTGGATACCTTGCATGGAAAGCTGTCAACTCTACACCTTCTGCCTGATCAGCACACTGCTGAGAACACCGCCTGGAGCTACAGTTCAGGTGGGGAAACACTGAAATTTTTGCTGTTGGCCACAGCGACTACTTCAAGACCCCTTCTTCTAGGCTTAACCGCTGCAGCCTACACCAGCACTGGGAAATTTGACCTCACCCATGAATAGCCTCAGTGACCTCCAGATGACTAATATCCAATATAAGTTAGATGATACCGTAAGGAACAGAACGAAAAAGCAGCAGTTTGGAGGAGAAAGAGGAAGGTTTGGGGTTGAGGCAGCACACTGTACAGACCTCTCAGTTTCACTTTTTTTCGCTGGTCAAATTTGGAGTTTTTTAAAGACCACATCAAGGCAGCGCACTGTAGGCTGGCACCCAGCCTGGTGCACACAGTAGGTACCAATGGAATAGTCTCAATTCACATACAGACCTCGCTTAATACTCTTTGCAAAGCTTATTACAAATTTATTCTGTTATCTGTTTTCGTCTTTTTTTCCCTCACAAGCTTTCGGGTTACATAAAGGTCTGGACTTCTTTTTCTACCTTGGCAATCCTTGGGAGGTCTAAGTGCCTTGGATAAGACAGGAAAGGGTTAAATCAATCCTGGCTGGGATGGTTTAAGAGTATCCATTTTCACTGCCAAAAGCTTTACTGCGTTTCTCTTCTTCAAAACGGATGCGGAGGGACGGAGGTACCATCCAATCCTTGATAAGGGAAAACGAACGATTGGACCAAGACTTAAAAGGTGAAGTTGCAACGTTCATCTGTTGAGTTGTGTGGACCTGCAAGTCAAGGCTGCACTCTGGGACGACCTACAGTATCTCCCAGGGAGTGACAGAGAGAAGGTAAAAAGCTGGAGGATCTTGAGGACCGGTGGGGAAAAGAAGGACCAACCTTACGCAACTCAGCTCCGCCCACTCCCGAGGGGGTGGTCGCTGAGTGGCTCCGCCCCTCCCGCGGTCGCTAAGTAACCAGCCCCGGAAGTCTCGAGTCCGGGGCGGGCGGGCGCGGAGAGCTGGTGGAAGATGGCGGAGGGAGGGCGCGCGGAGCCGGAGGAGCCAGAGAGGGGGTCCTCGAGGCCCCGGCCCCCGAGTGCGCGGGACCTACAGGTGCGGAGGCCGGGAGCGCGGCGGAGGGCGGGAGGCGCGGGGCAGAGCCACTGGGTACCTCGCCTGAGCCTTGCCCAGACCCTGTCAGGAGGAGAATGATGGCTCGGGTCTCTCGGGGAGGCGCGCGGCGGGGTGGTGGGCGTGGAACCCAGGGCGCGCGCCGCACCGGGCAGCTGTGGGCAATGTCATTTTGCGGGGCGGTCTGCCTGCTGGAGAGTTCCTATGGCCATCGCTTGAAAAATAATTTAAAAATAACGCTTGTTGATTCGTTCTCTTGGATGCTCTTTGGGATTTAAAGACTTACACACTAAAGGCAGTTTTTCTTCTTTTTTTTTTTTCCTTATCAAAAAGCTTGGCGGTTTTACAGGAGAGAGCTTAAAACAGTTCAGGCTGTGGTTGCAGCCCACTTGTAGGAGGTAGTCCATGAAACAATGTAACAGAAATAAAACTCGATAATGTTACTATGCCGACGTTAGTCAGCTGAACACTTGTCCACTAAATGCTACTTTATCAGATGCTAACAGTACTTGCTCATTTTAGGGCATTTTCTGTCTCCTCATGAGATCATTGATAACACTCAGCAATTAGACATGTGTAGGGGGTTATGGTTAAGAATAAATGAGCCTGAATTCTCCAACCTTGGCAGAGCATTTTTAGTAGCTGGTCTTCATCTTTAACCAAACATAACTGACTACTTGCTGTTATAACTTTGGGGAATTTGGAGCTAAATAGGCTATCAAATCCATAAGTAGTACAGGATACTGTTGTATGGTATTAAGTATTTTGAAAGACCACAGACTTGAAACGGGCTTGTAAACTAGCCTTAATAGACCAAACCCATGTAAAGTTACAATGGCATTGATTGAGCATTGGTTCCCTACAGGTGACCCTGAAGCCACTTAACTAATTGTCTTAGTCAGGGTCACCACCGCAGAGATGAAACACCGAGACCAGAGAGCAACGTAGAGGGGAAGGGTTTGACTTAGGCTCCCACATCACTGTTCATCCTCAAGGCAGTCAGGCTAGGAACTCAGGCAGGGCAGGGTCCTGGAGACAAGCCTTGGAGGATGCTGCTTACCTGCTTGCTCCCTGTGGCTTGCCCAGCCTGCTTTCTTAGAGAACCCAGGACCCCCCAGCCCAAGGATGGCACTACCCACAATGCACTGGGCCCTCCCCATCAATCATTAAGGCCCCCCTCCTTCCTAATGACTCCAACCTTGTTAAGTAGGGGTAGTAAAGGTGACCAAGAGACGCAGAGGAGTCTGCTGGGGGAGAGTGAAGACAGGGACAGTTTAAAACTAAGACCTTGTGATGGGTATCTGTGCCTGTGCTTTACATACACTAATCTTTCAACTGATGTTGACAAAAATTTCGTTAGGCATTTAAAGATGTAAAAACTAAACTCAACGATGTTCAGTGATCCATCAGACTTACACAGTAACTAGTACCTTAGTTATGGTTTGGATCCGTCTGAGAGAGAACAAGGGGGTGTGTGAACATGGGAAGGAGAAGAAAGGGACAGATGATGGAATTATATTTTAATGTCAAAAGAATTATGATCTATGTAAGAACTTCTAAACTTTTAATTCAGTTCTTAAGAGGTCAGAGCCATTCATTAGCATTTCTAGGGAAATTGCCTTTTCAGAAATCCACGAGTTGCTGCATCATCTGTGAGAGACTGGAAGAAGGAGGAATAAAAACAGTTAGAAAATGGGGGGAAAGCCTCTAGGTGCCCTGAGTGTGTATTTTAAATGTGTTTAGCCAAAGATGTACTGGACCTATTGGCCAGGGGATGTACCTGAGTGTTAGGGTGCTTGTTTCATGTGCATGAGGCTCTGCCTGGCTTCAGTTCCCAGCCTGGAAAACAAAATCAGCACTGGATGATTTGGCCTCAGTTATTTATTCTTCTTTTCCTTCTGAGGAAAAAATACACAGAGATAGTTACCTGGTGGGGGAAAGGGCTTGTTTGGTTGTAGAGTGAGTGGGGGCCCAAAGATTATAATCACACCGATTGAATACCCACTAGGAGCGTTAAGGAATTTTCTTTTGTTCTGCCTGTTTTTTTGAGACAGGGTCTCTCTACACAGCCCTGACTATCCTGGAACTCACATTGGACACCAGGCTGGCCTCGAACTCACGGACATCTTCCTGCTTCTGCCTCCCAAGTGCTAGGATTAAAGGGGTGTGACGCGATGCCTGAATGAAAATATTTCAATTTGTTACTCAAAATAGCAGAAGTAGAGGGAGGAAAAAACTCTAATAATTACATTAACATTTTAAATTCTAAATTTCAAGGACAAATATATTTTTACTTTATTTCGAAAGTAAGCAGCTATGTATCTGCAGTGTGTGATTTTGCAGTATTGCTTTATAAGTGGTTGAAACCTATATTTAATTCATTGTCTTATTTTTCAGCTTTCCCCTGAACTTGATGAAATTTATGTCTGATAGACTTTTAGGCGATACTTTTGAACTTGTTTCATGTTCCTGGATTTTGAAAACTACTAAGAGAAATTATATTGTGAGATTGATTTAGAGAAATTGACTATAGCATGAACTGTCTTCAGAAAGCCTTGAGAGCCTGGAGGAAAGTTACACAGGTCCAGAGGGGAAACCAGTGTCTTGCCAAACTCAGTTTTTGAAACTGTTAAATAGTTAATTAAAAGAATTATTGTAACAAATTTTCTCTGGCCTAGGCAGTTTAATTAATTGAATATTAGGAAACCTCACAAGTTAGTTTCTTTTGGAAAGGCAACATCTTTTGAGGCAACAGCCTTCATTTTTTAGTAGGAAATTGTTAGTGCCCACTTCCAAACTAATGCATGTTCCTCAGCTGTCTGCAAGTGTATTTCCATTGCTAGCTGGATAACAAGCCTGTTATTGTATGTAGTTGGCCTTGGCAGGACTGTACGAAGAGGAAGTGAAATGCAAGTCTTCCAGGCCTGCCAGATCTGCAGCTCCCGTCTTTAAGAGCCCACGGACACTGCCGCAACGGTGAGTATTGCTTCCCGACAGCTACCTTCAGTAGCTTAGCGCACTGAGCCGATTTTAAGTCACTTTGAGGATTTTCTAAGTTAATTTTTTAAAAATAAATATGGAAGTACTATTCTAAAATTTTTATAATCAGTGAAAAAAAAAACTTCTGAAGAAATCCTGTGGTGGCTGCTATTATCCTAAGCCCCACATGAATCCTGGAGCTCTAATGTGTTTGTCCTAGTGCTCATTGAGCCCGATGACATGTCCAGGCTCTCCTCTCAACAGCACTCATGTGCAGTCTTGTCCATTGAGGGCTAGCAGGGTTCTCACCACCACCCACGGGAGCTCTGCAAGTCCCTGGTCCCCACTGAAGAATCTGTCAGTTCTGAAGTCTGTATGTGCTTCTGTACTGCGATGCCTGGTCTGACGTGATTTCCTTGGATGTATTTGTTGTCATTAAAATCTCTGGATGACAAAAAGAACAGACTAGAGGTTTAGAAGATAAGAATCACATTTATTATAGTGTGAATATTTTTATTGGTATTTTAGTATTACATTCGAGAGCAAGCTTGACTTTTCTTATTACCTCTCATTCTCAAAAAGTATAATTTCATCAGAAGTAGAAAAATTCACTGGACACTATGTTTTTTTTCTTTATTTTTTTAAATATTTATTTATTTATTATGTATACAATATTCTGTCTGTGTGTATGACTGCAGGCCAGGCCAGAAGAGGGCACCAGACCTCATTACAGATGGTTGTGAGCCACCATGTCGTTGCTGGGAATTGAACTCAGGACCTTTGGAAGAGCAGGCAATGCTCTTAACCTCTGAGCCATCTCTCCAGCCCAGACACTATGTTTTTTCACTTCACATATTTTTTTGAAGGGGAGACAAAAATGATACATCTTCCTGTACTTGAATGATAAGAAAAGCCCTTATACTTTCTCCCCTGTGTTTTCCTTTACAAATGTTGAGGCCCATAGAAAGTGTGAAGGTTAGACAGGTGAATAAAGACTGAGCCTTTCCCTTTCTTCACCTGGGCTAATGTGTCTTCATATAGCCCTGCCCTCACTCGCGCGCGCATGCTCACTTCCTTTTCACTCAGCTATCTGAAAGCAAATGACAGCATTCATGACACCGCTTCTAGACATTTCATTGTATACCCCCTAAGAAGAAGGTAGAGAACCCAAAGTGTAGCTTACAAATTAACAGTGGCACCATGATGTCATGTCTTCAGCCACTTTGGGGATTTGGGGACCCAGCTAGAGACTACTCATTGCATTTGACTTTTCCTGTGTTGAGTTTTAAATGTAGAAACGTGCTCGCTCTTGCGCTCTCTCTCTCTCTCTCTCTCTCTCTCTCTCTCTCTCTCTCTCTCTACCTGTATTTAGCTCTCCATATTCTAAAATTTATTACATTCACTGTTTTAAAAAGTATACACCAGATGTCTCAAAATATCCTGCATTCTAGATCCCTGTTTCCTCATAATTAGATTCTTGTTAAACATTTTTGTCAAGAGTATAGATAAGTGATACTGTCTGCTTTTTATTATATCACATCAGGAGCCATATAGTTCCAAGTTCCCCACTCTTGGTGATATGCTCAGTTGGTTAAGGTGCTGACCACCACACCACTCCATTGTCAGGTACAGTCTGTCCTTGTAATCAGCAGGTCGGTATCTCGGCATGGTTTGAAAATACTATCCTTTGACTTAGCTCTTATTGTTAGATATATGAGTATATGTAGATGTGTGTAATATTTTAATTACCTCCTTAATGTGTATATCCCCCCCCCATTTTTAAAGTATTTAATGTGATTCTACCTAAGTTTTCCTCACTCAGTAGTTCATAGCTCAGCCTTTGACTCCCTAGCTTGAGCGCATAAGAAGAACTTAACTTTGCTGTTAGTGCAGTAAACCTGATCTGAGTTTTTGCAAGATTGACATATAGATATTTTCCTTGTGTTTCATGGGTTAATTCTGTGACCATGAGCTAAGGTTGTCCTAGGCTGCCAAGAGGTGCAAGCCATTTTGAGCAACCTGAAAATATTAAGATCTGTGAATGTGACTCAGTGGTAGAGTTTTGCCTAGCATGTGCAAGGCCTTGGGTTCAATCCCTAGAACTCTTTTTTTCCTCCCATTGGATGCATTTACTTATGCAATCCAAAAAGAATTTGTTGTTAGTAGTTTGATTTGGTCGTGCTCTTTGTTCATTTAGGGGTGTCATGGACTAAACTCAGTATGGCACACACATTAACCATGTACTCCTACCACTGAGCTGTACCCCTCCAACCAGTAATACTGACCTCAGGAATCATTTACCACTCAAAAGGATAAATTTCTGTAAAAGATTCAGAGGCTGTTTAATCACTTCAGGTACATGTGCACAGAGATCATCGGCAGTCTTTTCTGCACATGATACCAGTAGTTTTCACTTCATGCAGCAGTTCACAGCTCCCTGCTTCACCTTCAGTGAGAACGTTTGCCCTACTCACTGTCTGTCCTCCTAGGGCAGTGTTAGAAATCAAAGTGGTTGTATGTTCCCTGTCACTTCTTGTGGTTTTCAAGGTGTCATATGCAGCCTAGTCAGGCCTGAAACTCACTGTTAGTCAAGCTACCTGCAATCCCCCTGCCTCAGCCTCCCAAGGCTGAGATTTCCAGAGATTGCTAGCACCACCACACCTGGCCCCCTGGCTTTTTAAGCCAGCTGCACTGGTTAGTTTCTGTCAGTTTGACACAAGCTAGAGTGTAGGGATAAGTCCCGCCCCTTAGGGGGCGTGTTCGCCTCGGGCTAATGTCTTCTGTCTCTTCTGCTTTCCTGGTCTCCGCAGGAACGGTGGTTCTGTAAGTCTATTTCTACATTAAAACTATATATATTTTTACAATCTGTCTGCATTCGTTTACGCCGCTACATTTTGGCGCCCAACGTGTATGCTTGCAATTCCAGCACTTGTGTGGCTCAGGCAGGAGGACCACAGCTTGTGCTGCATGGTGAGAGAATGGAAGAAAAGATGTTTTTAAAGGGAGGTGCAATATTACCTTTGAGTCATTTATCGGAAGTTGCAATGGGAGCTGATAAATACTTTTTTGATCAAATGAGTTTCAAATAAGAGGAGAACAGAAGGCAAGGGCATCGACATCTTATTGTGGAAAAGGGAAGAAAGGAAATTTAGTAAAACCAAAGCATGGTTGGAACCCCATGAAACTGCACAGTGGGTCGAATGGTGCCTCTCAGGAAAGTCAGGGAAAGATGGAGTTCCCATGTGAAGTGAGGAAATGGAAGTGGGCAGTTGTCACTGCTCCAGCTGTAGGTACCCTTGGTCCTCTGTCTCCACGAAAAACAGCTAGAGAATTCATGGAGCACCCTTCGAGCTTAGGACACAAAGTACTCGATATGAAGACTTGTTCCAAAGCTGCAGAGGCCTAAAAGTCTGACCAGTGAGTCAAAACTGGGGCACTGAATGTCCCACCCTTGGAGATGGCTGTTTGGCTCTGACAAAGATGCCCCTGCAGAGCAACGAGGAGAGGGCATTTCATATTGTCTAAGGGAAGAAATTAGCATTGGCCTCTCTTTCCCTTATGCAACACACAGTCAGTTCCAGATGGCTTGCAGCTCTGACTATAAATATCAGTGAGGCTGCATGATCTCAGGGAAGGCCATAACAAACCGCTAAATCTTTTCCTGTGACCAGTTTTCCCAGGCCTTTGTCACAAGGCAAAGAGGCAGGGTCATTCACTCTGCCAGCTTGTTGACATGAGACAGGGAGGGAAGAAGCTATACTTGGGGACAAACATGGCAGGAAGCTGTGCTGGCTTTGTTTGTCACAGTTCCTGAGGTCGTGTGCTATGCAGTCCCTCACTCATTTCAGAGACAGGCAGACTTTCTTCGTGCATGCTGCACCCACTTCCACCGCGGGTATGCAGTGGTGAGCCTGGGAAGACTCAGTGACACGGATGGGGTGGTGCCCCTCCCCACAGCAGCAGTGGGGTTCTGCTGGTGTACATACCTGTGTCCAACTGCCGCTTCCTCTGTAACTTGGTTGCCAGTTTAGGAGAAAACCTTGAAGGGAACCTCTGTTCCCTGTGCAGGGCTGTTGTAGTTTCCGCCATTGCTCTGTGAGTTAGTGGGAACTGGAGTAGAGAGAGTGGGGAAATAAAAAGTGAACTCTGTCACCTTGTACTGGAAGTTTCTATGTGTTACTTCATTGTTAAATTTTCTGATCTCCTTGACAAAGGTTAGGATAATCTTAGGTGAATGGAAATGTGTGTTTTGTAGCCTTTCTGAAATTAGAGTCAGGGCAGATCTTAGTTAGTACAAAGGGAATGTATGAAGTTATTTACACTGGGAATTGTAATGCACTAGGTCTTTCTGAAGAATAAACCTTTGTGTAGCCATATGGGGCAAGAATAGCCTCCACCTGTTGCCAGTGCCCCCCCCCCAGGAGAAGAATCCTTAAGCAGTCATCCAGGGTCGAAGTGGGAAACCAGGACCCCAATCACTGTGCTGGTGCTGCAATGTTAGGCTCCACAAACCCAGAAGGGATGCAGACTCTCCCTGTTTTCTATTTCCCTGAGTTCTGTTGTACAGTTAGGTATCCTGAAGAGCTCAGTGTACTGCTTTATAAAGAAAAGTTATTTCCCGTGGCTGTGTAGCTTCTTATTTTAGAGTGGTTTATGTCTGTTCTGAGTTTTTATTCATGAGCTGTGATTTTTAAAGGCTTTATTCAGGTGAACAGGAATGTGGTGGAGTACATATAGCTCAGCCTCCACCGGGGAACATTGTGAATGACCTTTTCAGAGAGGCAAGGGAGCATGGGGCTGTCCCTCTAAGTGAAGCCACAAGATCTTCAAGTGACGACAAAGCTAAGGTCAGTGCTGTCTGTGACTGTACTGTTTCTGGGAAGGTGTGAGGTACTTAGTCATGTGTCGTGGTGATGCTTTTATGATCTTTCTGGCCCCATGGTTGAGAATGACTCCTCCATGAAACTTCAGTTTTAGGCTTTATTTGGCAGCAGCTGGGAAACTTCCTCCTGTCAAGCCTTGAGGTCATTTTAACATTTCCACATTCTCCAATTCTATAAGCAAAGTATGGAATTGATTTCATATGTGGAACAAAGTAAGGTTGTAATCTAAAGCACATTTGTCATGTAAATAGTAATTAAAAGAATAGCCATTTCTGCCCACAGTATCCTTCCTGAGGACTATGTGTTCAGTACAGCAATATCAAAAGTGTGATCATAGCCTACTTGATGTAGGTAAGATCAAATTGTGACTATAGCTGACTTCCGGTAGCTAACAAAACAGCTTAAGATGAAGGTCATCCCAGGAAACGACACATGGACACAGTGCAGAAATCAACAGGTCGTGGTGAAACTCAGCCACAACAGATACATCTGCATCCCGGCTCCTGCTTCTGTGGCTCAGGGAATATTGTGGAAGAGGGGGCAAGAAGGTTGTAAGAGCCAGAATACCAGGAAGTCAGCTGTAAAAGTCCCCTAGAAGTGGCTGCATAACCAAGACTGGAACAATGGCAGTTTCAAGGGAGGGGGAGATCGCATGTGGTCACACCTTTAAGAACTACAGGCAACCCTTGACTGCGGGAGAAGGAGGATTACCCTCTCCCAGGGATGACACCTTGTTGGTTATCCAATGCAGAGTGGTCAGCCTAGAAACTATATACACACCACCAATAAAAACATGTATTTACATACATGTATTATGGAACAATAATGAGATATGTATTTACATACATGTATGTATGTAACAATAAGAAAAAAGAGGCTCTCAACTTGGAGGGGAGATGTGGGAGGGGCTAGAAGGGAGAAAATGATGTAATTTCTATTTCAGTTAAAACAAAAAAATTTAAAGCCTATAAAATACATACAGAATTCTTTAACAATTTGTAACATTTATTTTGTGTGTGTGGTCGTGTACACACAAATCCACAACCCACATGTTGTGGAGGTCAGAGGACAGTTTGCAGGAGTCTATTCTCCTTCTACCGTGTGGCTTCTGGGGATCAAACTAAGTTATTGCACATTTCGAGTTACTAATGTTTATATGAAAAGACATTTAACTTCTCACATACACTTGCTTGTAACTTAAGGAGTTCATTCCAATGTATTTCCCTAGTCACTATGAATCTGGCCAATAATTTCTTGTCTAGTTTTGAAATATCAAGTATCCAAATAACATTCTGACTGTAAGCCATAGTGAATTCTTAACCCATTTATCCTGTGTTCCAGTCATTTACAGGTGGAGGATACAGATTGGGCAGTTCCTTCTGTAAGCGGTCAGAGTATATCTATGGAGAAAATCAGCTGCAAGATGTAGGTACAGTCATCAAAATGTTAAGCATTCACTTAGTTGATCCTGTTTTTTCTCCTTCCTGAATTAATAGTTGATACTATAAATACAGACATCTCTTACTAGTTTTTGAAGCAGGAGTTAAAGAACCTGTGTGCTTTTATTAGCAATATTTCTACTGCTACATTGGAATGTATAACTTTTTTGTTTGTTTTGGGTTTTTTTTTTGTTTTGGTTTTTGAGACAGGGTTTCTCTGTGCAGCTCTGGATGTCCTGGAACTCACTCTGTAGACCACACTGACCTCAAACTCGAGATCCTCCTACCTCTGCCTCCTGAATGCTGGGATTAAAGACGTGCACCACCACTGCCAGGCAGAATATATAATTCTTACAATTTCTTCTTAGAAATTGTATGCTTTTATAATACAGCATGAATTAAATTATAAAAACATTTGAAATCATTATTTCTGTTGCCTTTGAAAATATTAAAATTATAAATTTATTTTAGACATTAAGAGTTTCTTGGAAGGGTTCCCTTGCCCCTTGGCTTGAATTATTAAGTGGTGGAACTAAAGAGATTTGGGGCTGGAAGATTGGTTCGAATCACAGGTGCCCAGTGGAGTCTGTCTTCCTGCTGCTGTGCTCCCTCATGAACTCTGAGTGATTGCTCAGCAGCCAGGCGCCACCTGGGGGACTTTGATATTTGCAGCTATTATCAGAGTTCTAAGCTAAAAATAAACCTACTAAGTAAATACATGGTGGACACACATGTTTAGCTTTGACTAAAACAGATACCTCTGTATTTTAAGATAAATTAATCAGATAGTAAGTTAGGAGATATAACATTGAAATCTAATATTGTTTGGAGATAAATTCTTTTTTTTTTCCATCTCCAAAAGGTTCAGATTTTACTGAAGCTGTGGAGCAATGGTTTCAGTTTAGATGATGGAGAATTGAGACCTTACAGTGACCCAACAAATGCTCAGTTTTTGGAATCCGTTAAGAGAGGGTAAGATGAATTATTCTTGTTCTCTTTATTATGTGGAATGGAACTGTTTTGAGTATGTGCATGCATGCTCCTATGACTGCATATGTATGTATACACATGGATGTGGAGGTCGTAGGTTGATGGAGGAAGGTCATTGGCTAATAAAGGAACTGCCTTGGCCCATTTTATTGGTTAGAGGATAGGTGGGAGGAGTAAACAGAACAGAACGCTGGGAGGAAGAGGAAGTGAGCTCAGTCTCGACAGCTCTCCTCTCGAGAGCAGACGCCTGAGAGAGAAGCCGTGCCCCACTCCCGGGATAAAGCTCCGACCCAGGATGGACATAGGCTAGAATCTTCCTGGTAAGCATACCTTGGGGTGCCATACACAGATGATTAGAAATGGGCTAAATTAATATGTGAGAATTAGCCTAGAAGAGAATGGGCCAAGCAGTGTTTAAATGAATACAGTTTGTGTGTTGTTATTTCGGGCATAAGCTAGCCGAGCAGGCAGCCGAGGTGCTGGGGACGCAGCCCCGCCGCCCCTTATTACTACAGTAGGTCAGTCTCAGTAGTATTCTTTCCCTTGCCTAGAGCTCCCCAGGTAGCCCAGGTAGTCATGCTTGTGTGGCAGTTATCTGACCAAGTAGCTCCTTTTCCCAGGCCCTGTTTCTTTTTTTACTGTTCTGTATACACTGTTTGCTTTCAAGAATTAGTTATTGTGATGTATTACATAAGTGACTTTGGGAGATGGATCTTTGTAGAGAAAGGACATTGGGTGATTGTACCTCTTTTAAATATGACACTATGGGCTTTGCTCCAAGAAGAAATGCCTTAATGAATTGAATAGCATCTATCTACCTATCCGTTCAGTCTCTATCCTGCTTACTGTTGGCAAGGTGCCATGACAAAACACCAAGACCAAGGCAACTTATAAAAGAAAGCATTTAATGTTGGTATACAGTCTCTGGGTGAGTCCGTGATCATGAGGACTGAAAGCATGGCTGTGGGCAGGCCTGCATAGCCCTCAAACATGGCTGTAGGCAGGCCTGCATAGCCCTCAAACAGTAGCTGAGAACTTAACATCCGATCCATAGCCGTGCGGCAGAGAGCCTGCTGGGAATGGCGTGAGCTTTAAACCTCTGAGCCCATCTCCCGTGACACATCTCCTCCAAAGCCACACACTCTGATCCTCCCCAAAAGTCCTACCAACCAGGGACCGAGTTTTCAAATGTGAATCCTTCCGGCTTTGTTGACTGCAGCATACTTCTCTCTAGTGGGCGCATTCCTCTCTGTCTGCAGCTCTCTTTGGCAAATATCCCACACCATATCATCAAGAACAGTAATGAGCAAAGTCTCCTTTCTGAGAATATCTGTTAGAGGTTCTGACTAGCTGAGATCCATTAGCTCTTTCGTGAAAGATTTAGTAACACTGTTTTTGTTGTCCTATAGGAACAACTGTTTGGAATATTGTACCTTACGTATACTAAATACAGGAAAGTAATTTTTATAAGTAAAAAATGCCTATCAGTGATATTTACATTATTTCTTTAATATAAGTTTATATTTCAAGTTATATATGCCTAATTCGTACACTTTCTATGTAAATATAACATATAAAATTACCATAGATGAAGTATGTGGCATTGTCAGCCTAATTACTATAAATCACATTTCATTCAAGGACTTAATATGGGAGGTACATTCTTGGAAATGCAAGGGATCTTCAGAAATAAAAATATAAAATCCTCCAAAAATGCATAGTTGATTTTTGGTTACTTTTTTTTTGTTTAATGTTTGTTTATTTATTATGTATACAATATTCTGTCTGTGTGTATGCCTGAAGGCCAGAAGAGGGCACCAGACCTCATTACAGATGGTTGTGAGCCACCATGTGGTTGCTGGGAATTGAACCCAGGACCTGAGCAGGCAATGCTCTTAACCGCTAAGCCATCTCTCCAGCCCCGATTTTTGGTTACTTGTATAGGCCAAGACATCATGAAGAAGAGAGTTTGTTCCCCATGTCAGTCTCTGCACGCTCTGATTCTGTGTTAACTGTGATGTTGTCCTCAGGGTAGACCAGTCTTCTGTAGCCATGCAGTCCACAGTCTCTCCCTTGACACTGAAGCGTCTGCTGCTCTCCAGTTACCTGATAATAAGAGATACCTTTATCAGTATCTAACTGCCTCCAGGATGGAGTTCAAAGCAAATGGTTGTAGCCAGGGATGGTGATTCTGTGTATCCATGGCAAGTCCTTGAGTAGATAAAGACCTCTTTGCAGTGCAGAGATATGAAGAATGAAGACCCTTCCTTACTGTTGGTGGAACTGTAAACCTGTACAGCCGCCAAGGAAATCTGTATGGAGGGTTCTCCAAAGACAGAAATCTGCCTACCATTTGACACTTAGGATGCCTGAATAATTTCCTAAAGAACTCTAAAGCAACATACCATGGAGTTACTGGTACATCCGTGTGTATAAAGCACTGTTTACAATAGCTCAGGGACTGAACCAGCCTAGGTATTCATCAACTGATGAATGGATTAAGAAAACGTAAAGATACATAATACATTTCTATGAATTAGAAATAATGTTAGACAATACCAGCCAGACTCAAATACCATGTGTTTTCTCTAATATGCATCATCTAGATTTAATATATGCATAGATATATAAATGCATGTATCTATGTATGAGTACATAGATCATGAATAGAAAGGGGATCATGGGAAGGGAAGAAGAGATCATAAAGTAGATAAAGAAGAGATCAATCAGTACATGTGGGAAGGAAGCAGAAGGGAGACAGCCTGTTTTCAGTAAAGAAGTGAAGGGCATAGAACAACAGTAAGAACAAAATACAGTGGCGTGTGTATGCAGATGCCATAATGAAATCTGTTACTTTCTGTACTAACCTAAAGCATTTATTTATTATTTTTCTCTTACATATTACACCCAAACCACAGTTTTTCCTCCCTTTCCTTCCCCCAGTCTCCTCTCCTCATCTCCCCTCTGCCCCAAATCCACATCCCCACAATCTCTCCTTAGAAAATAGCAGGCCTCTATGGGACATCAACCAAACATGGCATAATATGCTACAATAAGACCAGGCACTTACCATATCATCAAGGCTGGGCAAGGCAACCCAGTAGGAGGAAAAGGGTCCCAAGAGGAGGTGAAACAGTCAGCTCCCGCCCCCTTTTCCCCCTGTTAGGAGTCTCACAAGGATACCAAGCTACTCAGCCATAGCACATATGCAGGGGACCTAGACCGGACCCGTACAGGCTCCCTGATCTCAGTGAAACACCATGAGTACTGGTCATACTGGTCACTTGATTCTGTGGGCCATGTTCTTTTGGTGTCCCTGACCCTTCTGGTTCCTCCTATCCTTCCTTCCCCTCCTCCAAAGGACTCCCCAAGCTATGCCTAATTTTGGCCGTGGGTCTTTGCATCTGCCTCCATTTGGTTGCTGGGTGATGCCTCTCTGGTTTGTTTGATGAGAGTTGTGCTGGCTCTGGTCCTAGAACACTCTGCAGGCAGGACAAGCTCTAGGCTACAAGTTTGGTAGCTGGGTTGGTGTCCCAATCCCTCCACTTGAGGCCTTACCTGGTTACAGAAGATGGCCAGTTCAAGCTCCAGGTCCCCTATTACTAGGAGTCGTTGCTAGGGTTACTCTTGTAGATTGCATGGAATTTCCATTTCACTAGGTTTCCACCTTATTCCCAAAATGTTCCCTAATTCCAGTCATTTCGCCTAGTATTCCCCCACCCCTGGTAATCACTCCTGTTCCCAACTCCCACCTGTCCCCCATCTACCAGCAAAATCTATTCTATTTCCCCTTTCCAGGGAGATCCTTGTATCCCCTCTTGAGCCCTCCTTGTTACTTAGACTCTCTGGGTCTCTGGATTGTAGCATCGTTATCTTTTATTTTACAGCCAGTGTACACTTATAAGTGAGTACATATCATGCTTATCATTCTGTTCCATTAGGATGGAACTTGGAACAGATGAGTAATACTCCATTGTATATAAATGTACCACAGCCTCTTTCTTCATTCTTTGGATGGAGGCATCTAGGTAGTTTCTAGTTTCTGGCTTTTATAAACAAAGCTGCTGTGAACACAGTTGAACAAGTGTCCTTGAGGTAGAATAGAGCATCCTTTGGGTACATGCCCAGGAGTGGTATGACTGGGTCTTGAGGTAGATCGGTTCCCAATTTTCTGAGAAACCATTATAGTGATTTCCAAAGTGGCTGTGCAAGTTTGCACTCTACCAGCAGTGGGGGAGTTCATCTTGCTCCAGATCCTCAACAGCATGAGCTGTTTCTTGTGTTTTTTATCTTAGCCATCTGATAGATATAAGATAATCTCAAAATTATTTTGATTTGCATTTTCCTGATGGCTAAGGATGTTGACCATTTCTTTGTTTCTTGGCCATTTGAGTTTCCTCTGTTGAGACTTCTCTGTTTAGATCTTTTAATTGGATTATTTGGTTTCTTCAGTGTTTGGATGAGCTCTGCCTCACCAGCCCCCAACTCCAGTCCCCCATCCCACCCCTACTCCGGTTCTAATCTTTGCCCAGTCTCAGAAAGCCCTTGAAACAGCGGCTCCTCTGGAACCATGCATGCGGGGTATTTAAAGGACCTCCTAAGGAGAGACCATGTAGTTTTCCAGTTCCATGCAGTTCCCCTCCTCTCTTGGGGCCAGGAGACCATCCAGGAGCATTTTATTCATTAAACCTGGACTTTTAATTATTAATCTGGCTTGGTTTGATCGGCAGAGAGGCTTTATATGAGGGTACAGAAACCTTTCATTGAGTTCTTTTTATATTTTGGATATTAGCCCTCTGTCAGATATGGGGCTTGAAGATCTTTTCTCATTCTATGGACTGCCGTTTTTTTTTTTTCTATTGACAGTGTCTTTTGCCTTACAGATGTTTTTCAGTTTCAGGAGATTCCGTTTATCAGTTATTGATCTTAATGGCTGTCCTGTTTCTGCTCTGCTCAGAGAGTCTCTTGTGCCAGTGCATTCAAGGCTAATCCCCATTTTTCTCTTCTATCAAGTTCAGTGGATCTGGATTTAAATGAGGTCTTTGATCCACTTGGACTAGAGTTTTATGCAGGGTGATAGATGTGGATCTGTTTGCGTTTTTTTTACATGCCAGTATTCAGTTAGACTAGCACCATTTGTTGAAGATGCCATTTTTTTTCCATTGTATATTTATGTCTTTATCAAAACTCAGATGTGCATAGGCATGTGGATTTATGTCTGGACCTTTCATTCAGTTCCATTGGTCACCATGTCTGCTTTAAGCCAGGCCATCCATGTTGTTTTTATTACTACTGCTCTGTAGTACAGTTTGAAATCAGGGATGGTGATACCTTTAGAAGTTTATTTATTGTATAGGATAGCTTTAGCTATCCTGTTTTTCCCCCTTATGAAACTGAGTATTGTTCTTTCAAGGTCTGTAAAGAATTATGTTGGGATTTTAATGGGGATTGCATTGAATCTGTAGATTGCTTTTGGTAAGATGGTCATTTTTACTGTGTTAATCCTACCAATCCATGAGCATGGGAGATCTTTCCATCTTCTGATATCTTCTTCAACTTCTTTCTTTAAAGACTTGAAGCGTTTTTGAAAGACAGGTCTTCTCTGGCTTGGTTAGAGTTACCCCAAGATACTTTATGTTATTTGTGACTATTGTGAAGGGTGTTGTTTCCCTGATTTCCATCTCAGTCCATTTGACATTTGTATATCAGAGGGCTACTCATTTTATTTTTTAAGTTAATCTTATAACCAGTCACTTCACTAAAGTGTTGATCAGCTGTAGGAGTTCCTTGATAGAAAATTTGGGGTAGAATTGATATGTACTATCATAACATCTGTGAGTAATGATACTCTGACTTCTTCTTTTCCAATTTGCATCCCTGCAATCTCCTTTAGTTGTCTTATTGCTCTAGCTAAAACTTTAAGTACTGTATTGAACAGATGTTGAGAAAGTGAACAACCTTGTCTTGTCCTTTTTGTTTCTATTTTATTGATTTCAGCCCTGAGTTTATTTCATGCAGTCTACTCTTGGGTGTGTCTACTTGTTTTTGTTCTAGAGCTTTCAGGTGTGTTGTTAAGTTGCTAGTATGAGATCTCTGCAGTTTCTTTATGTAGGCGCTTAGTACTATGTGCTGTCCTTTTAGCACTGTTTTCATTGTGTCCATAAGTTTGGGTTTGTTATTCATTTTTATTGAATTCTAGGAAGTCTTTCTTTATTTATGCCTTGACACAATAGTTGTTCATAAGGAGCTGTTCAGTTTCCTTGCGATTGTAGGCTTTCTGTTGTTTCTGTTGCTGTTGATTTCCAGCTTTAATCCCTGACGGTCTGATTGAGTACAGGGTGTTATTTCAATTTTCTTGTATCCTTTGAGACTTGCTTTGTGACCGAGTATGTGGCACATTTTGGAGAATGTTCTGTGAGGTGCTTATGTGTTTGGGTGAAATGTTCTCTAGATATCTGTTTGGTCCATTTGAGTCATAATGTCTGTTGGATCCATTATTTCTCTGTTTAGTTTTCCATCTGGATGTCCTATCCATTTGTGAGAGTGGGATATTGAAGTCTCCCATGATTAATGTGTGATGTTCAATGTGTGATTTAAGCTTTAATAACGTTTCTTTTACAAATATAGGTGCCCTTTTGTTTGGGATATCTCTTTTGATTAACTCTGATTTTGAATTTATTTTATTAGATATTAGGATAACTACACCATCTTGCTTCCTTGGTCCATTTGTTTGGAAAATCTTTTATTCCAACCCCTTGCTCTGAGATAATGTCTGTCTTTGAGTCGAGGTGTGTTTCTTGTATACAGCAGCAGGATGGATCCTGTTTTCATATCCATTCTGTTAGCCTGTGTCTTTTATCGGGATTTTGAGTCCATTGACACTGAGAGATATTAATATCCAATGATTGTTAATTTATGTTATTTTATTGTTGTTGTTGTTGGTAGTGTAGTGGTAGTAGTAGTAGTAGTAGGTTGTGTGTGTGTGTGTGTTTTGTGTTTGTGTTTTCCTGTTTTGGGGGTTTGCTGATGTAAGATTATTGCCTGTGTTTTTGTGGTTGTTATTAACTTCATTGGGTTGGAGTTTTCCTTCTAGTACCTTCTGTAGGGATGGATTTGTGGATAGGTATTGTTTAAATTTGGCTTAGTCATGAAATATTTTGGTTTATCTATGGTGGTTGAAAGTTTTGCTGGATATAGTAGTCTGGGCTGCCATTCCTGGTCTCTTAGAGTCATTAGATGATGTCTTAGAGACATCAATTCAGGCTTTTCTGGCTTTCAGAGTCTCCACTGAGAAATCAAGTGTAATTCCAATAGGTCTGCCTTCATATGTTACTTGGTCTTTTTCCTTTGCAGCTTTTAATATTCTTTATTCTTTCTTTTTTATGTGGCGATGGGACTTTTTTCTGGTCCAAATTATTTTGTGTTCTTTAAGCTTCTTGTACTTTTATAAGCATGTCCTTCCTTAGGTTAGGAAAATTTTCTTCTATGATTTTGTTAAATATATCTTCTGGGTTTTCAAGCTGGGATTCTTTTTTTTTTTTTCTATTTCTATTATTTTTTGATTTGGTCTTTTCAGAGTGTCCCAGATTTCCTGGATGTTTGGTGTTAGTATTAGATATATCATTTTCTTTGACTGATGAATCTATTTTTTCTACCATATCTTCTGCCCTGAGCTTCTCTTGTATTCTCTTATTTATGCTTATGTTTGTAATTCCTTTTCATTCACCCAGCTTTTCCATTTCCAGAATTCCCTTCATTTGTGTTATATTACTTTCATTCCCGTTTTCAGGTCTTGAATAGTTTCCTTTACCTTTTGGGTTTTTTTTTTTCCGCATTCTTGGCATTCTTTAAGGGATTTATTGATTTTCTTCAATTTTTTGTTGTCTTTCCCTCTTATTTCTCTAAGGGATGTTTTTAATTTCCTTTTAAGGACCTCTATCATCTTCATAAATTTGTTTTTAAAATCATTTTGGACAGCTGCTCTGATGGTGCCGTGTTGCCTGGGGTATTTAGGCATCTGGGTTTGGGGTAATTACAGGTCTAGGTGCTGATGTCCACATTTGTCTTTGTCAGATGGGTGTTTTGTTCCCTGGCTTCTGTTTTTGCTTTGAATTTTTTCTGTCATTGTGACCTGGATTTCTTGTGGCTGGCGTAACCTCTGATCTAGTAGGGAGTCTAAGTTGGGGACAGGCCTTCTGGTGGCTAGCTTGGCTTTTGTTGCAGCAGGCGGTCTCTGTTCTGACTGGTGTGTCCTGTGCCTGTGCAGAAGTCTGCTGGGGTTGGGCCTGGAAGAGGAGCAGGCGATGAGCTGGGCGGGCATGGGCTGTGGGTTGGCTCTTTGGGAACAGAATCTAGGAAGTGGGGCAGTTTAGCTGGCAGGCGGGTCACTCACCTGGTTTTGTTGTCGTTGTTTGCTTGTTTTGTTGTTGTTTGGTTGGTTGTTGTTGTTTGTTTGTTGTGTGTGTGACCTAAAACAATTTTTAATTTAAAAAAAGGAAAAAGGCTGACTTCGCCATGCTGTGTCTCAAGGCCCCTGCCCACCAGTTACCAGACACTCAGAAATACCTCAACATCAGTTTCCACAACTTCCCCCAGGGACATTAAAATAAATATGTGCAGACTCCCAGTACTTGAGAGTCTAAAACAGGAGGATTGCTGTGAGTTTGCAGCTAGTCTGATGTATATACAGAATTCCAGGCTAGTCTGAGCCACGGTGCGAGACCCTATTTCAAAGAAACAACCAAAAATATTCAAAAATATTTAAGTTAACTTTTAAGCTATATAAGAATTTTCTTCTGCTAATTTAAGTATCAATTGATGTCTTATAATGTGCCTTTCTAAATGTACTCCAAGATTGTTGTGCTACCCAAAACATTTCTATCTAGGAGTCACTAAAGAGCAGCATGACCAACTAGAAGAGATGGCTCTGCACTGGCTGCTTTCCCAGAGGACCAGCATCCACAGCCATCTGAAACTCCAGTCCCAGGGGCCTCATCCTCCAGGGGCACCAGGCATGCACATGGTACATGTACATACATAGAGACAAAACACTCATACGTTTAAAGTACAAAAGTTTTCAAAGTGTAAGATAACCTGAAGAAAGAATAACTACGTGGCCCTCAATCACCATGGAAATTTTTGTTAGCATGTAGCTCGTGATTTAATTGCGGTCATCTCAGTGGAGTAGTGAGTGTTTTTATAACAATCTTAACTAAAACTTTCTCTCCCTCCTTTTAAGAGAGATTCCCCTGGAGCTTCAGAGACTGGTCCATGGCAGCCAAGTGAATCTGGATATGGAGGATCATCAAGACCAAGAGTACATAAAACCCAGATTGCGCTTCAAGGCTTTTAGTGGAGAAGGACAAAAACTTGGAAGGTAAAATTCCTCTAGTGAGAAAAATACTTTTTTGCTCAAAATGACATTTCATTGAAAATAAGAAATCAAAATGACTTGTGAAGTAAAATTTGAAATACAAGCTATAAAGACCTTCCTGCTGGAATAGGGTGTGCAACTTGGCTAATAATGTTAGTAGCAAGTACCCAGAGGTCAGTCCTCCTTACACTCATGCGCTCATCTGATACACACACTGCTCTTGCAGAGGATCTGAGTTTGGTTCCCCACACCCATCCATGCAGCCTGCAACTACCTGTAAAAGTCCAGCTCTAGGTACCCATTGGCACCTGCACATATGCCCATATTGCCACATAGACAAACATGCATAGAATTAGAAATGAAAATAAATCTATTTTTAAAAGCAGCCCTTTAACATATGGATACTTATTACTCTATTTTAAAAGAACAGTAATTTGCCCAAGGTATGCTTGAGCTAGAGAATGACTAGGACCAAATTGCAATCCAAGCGCTCTGGGTGCTTACTTTTCCCTACTGTGCCATGTTCTCCTGTTTGTTTTGGCTGCTTTCATGTAAGTCTATAGTGCTTTGAGCATATCCTCTGCACACACTGCCCTCCTCCCTCTCCTATGAACCCCTCTTGTCCAGATTTGGTTCTAGGCGTTTTTCTGTTCTTTGTGGGTGTGTTCTTTCATTTCTGCTTCCAGTCACACAGCTTCAAAAGAGAACCCTGGCAAGTGTTGCTGACTGGAGAAAGCAGTGACCATATCCCCCCCCCCAACTTTAGTGGTGTGTCTGCTGTGAATAAACTCTGAGATGCTGCAGCAGGAGTGTGCCTCAGTTCTCTGTGCTTTGGAAGCAGCCCTTCGGTTCCGGCTCCAGCACCACAAACCTGGCCTGCTGGGCCACACCTCTAATCCTAGCACTAAGGAGATAGAGGGTCACCCTCCACCTTCTACCCAGTCTGCAGCCAGTCTCAGGTGTATACTCACTCTGTTGCTAGCCTGGGCTATGAGAGGTTGACCTTGCCTCAAAGTGGAAATAGGAAATTGTTCAGTTTTAATATACAGAAAATTAACACTAGTGTGTTAATGTGACGTGACTCAGTATACATAAACTCATATTTAATCAAATAATACATTTCTAAAGTGAAGAATTGCACATAACATTTTACACTGGACATTTACATCAAGAACTATATAGGTTTGATCCCTGGCACCAAAACTTAATAAGAAAGGAAAGAAAGAAAATTGAAACTAAAAAACTATTAAGACAGCAGCTTAACAGTTCTCATTTCCTAAGAGCTCCAGCCAGCTACTGAAGTACAAAAAGGGAAATAATCCAGTTTTGTCCACTGGCAGTAGTCTAATTACAAAGAGCGTACAGGCAGAAGTTGGCCAAGTTTTCTTGTGATCTACAAGTAAATAGAAATAAGGAAGTCATGGGTGACAGCTGTATGTTTACAAATGATAGCATACCCTGAGTTGAGCAGGAGTTGAGCCCAATAGTCTTCTGCTGTCAGGGAGAACCAGAGGTGGCCCTGGCTGAGGGTTTTCAACTGTATGATGATAAATGATGCAGCTGGGATGCTCCTGTCTGATGTGCAGCAGCCCCTCTGCCCTGCCTTCTCGTCCTGCCACTCATTCAGCCCTCATCTTGCCTCAGCCTCTGGATCTTCTCTCTCGAGCACCCCTGCAGAGCAGGTGGTGCTAGGCCCCCTAGATCCCATGGGGCTGATCCCAGGCGCTCCCTGCTCCCTTCCCTCGGCCCCTCGTCAATCCCGCATTGCATGCTTAAGCAAATTTCCTCGCTTGGCTCAGAGTTTCTCAGGCCGATGGTGATGGTTTTCATGATACTTTCAGATTCCTGGTCCGTTCCTGTGAGTTTCCAACTGTCTAAGGAAAGCTCAGCTCAGATCCTTTCTTCTTGCTTTCTTAAAAGTCTTTTTGTATCTCTTAATTTCTCTCTTTAAAAAGTTTTTAATTAACCTTAAAATATAAAGAGTCTATGAAAATGTAGCTGGCTGCAGAGATGACTCAGTGGTTGAGAGTTTGTGCTGCTCTTACAGAGGACCTGGTTCGGTTCCTAGTACCCATTTGGGGCAGAGTACAGCCATCTCTAACTCCAGATTCAAAGGACATGATGCCTTCCCTGGCCTCCACAGGCACAAGGCATGCTCATTATGCGTATATATAAATGTAGGCAAAACACTTGTACACAAAAAAATCTTATTTAAAAACTCACTGTAGTGTGATGGTCAACTAAGGGGGAGCTTTGCTGTGCACTGATGTTGTCCCAGCAATCATGAGACCATAGCAGCAGGATCAGTCCCAGGCCAATCTGAGCTACAGAGTGAGACACTGCCTTCAAAGAAGGGAGAGTGACTTTGAAAGTGAACACTGAATGTAGCAATAAAACCACAGTGCCTGTTCACCAGTAACAAACTTGACATGGGACAGCGTTCTGGTCGACCTCTGACTCGGCTTTTCCATTGATATCGCTGCCACACCTACTCCATCAATTCTAGTTTGTCAATAACTCATTTCCGCACACCTGTTTCTTACAAGGAGACACATTCAGGTGCTCTCTACTGAGGCTCCCTTCCCACTGTATACTAACTTTTTATTTCAGAAGAAGCTTGCCTGCCTGCTCAGAATTTTTCCTAGAAGATACTAGATGATAGAATCACCATTATGCAGCAACTTTCTCCTTTCTCAGTAGGTCCCTTCAAGTAGTGTAGCAACCTAACTTGAAGAACCCTTGTACCTGACGGGGTTAATCTGTACAACATAGTGGTATTCTCTCACCAAACAAGGATGCAGGCCAGTGGGGATGGCTGTCTCAGGGTCACGGGGCAGGTGGGTGAGGTAAGTGTGCTGTGCTATGTATCATGTCTATGCATGGCCACTGGTGAGGAGAAAGGACATCTGGGTAATGAATTTATTTCTCACTAAAGCTTAGAGCTATTTCTCTTTTACAAAGCAGTATCTACTTAAGTCAGATGTTTTTAAAATTGCTTTAACAGTGTTTGAAAGTATCAGTTCAGTTCTGATTATATAAGCAAAATTAACTTTTGAGTTCTTTGTCCCAGGCATCATCCTGAAGGACTTCATGGGATAGTAAATACATTAAGAATACAGTCTTACAGAATTATACTAGATTGATGTTCTTCCTCCAGTGTAGCTAGCTAGAACATAGTCGGGATTTGAAGTTTATTTTCTTTATACTCTTGGGCATGCTGACATTAAGTCTCTGGTTTCTCATTTCTCCCTGAACTGTGTACTAAACAGTGTAAAGAAAGTTCAGAGATGGAGTTGGAGAAAGTGCAGCTAGGCTTCTGAGATATCTGGGATTAAGTAGAATTAAAGAGGCCAAAAGAAGTAGAGAAAACTGGAAGGGAACTGTGGTCTTGCTAGGGAAGTCCTCAGAGGAGTCATGGCACAAGTGACTGCAGAGCTGAGGCTCGGCCACCTTCAGTGTGTCCTGTGTCCTGTGTCCTCAGTGTGTGTTCTGATTCTTACATTCTTCTTTCTTAGCCTTACACCTGAAATTGTCAGTACTCCTTCTTCTCCAGAGGAAGAGGACAAATCAATACTTAATGCAGCTGTTCTTATTGATGATTCTGTGCCAACCACAAAAGTTCAGATTAGGTTGGCAGATGGAAGTCGTCTGATCCAGAGATTCAACAGCACCCACCGGTGAGCTGCTCCCCAGCCAGGGTCTTCTGTTCATCTACTGTTGCTCATCACAGAAAATTGCCCATGCTCTACGTTTTCACAGTAAGCTTTTGACAGAAAAATAGTTAAAAGGATGGTGACGACCTATACACTAGATGAAATTGATGGTAATATTCGTGGTAAATTATCCTATTAGTCCAAGTTTAGACAACTCCAAATATATTAGCTGTAGTTTTGCATTGTGACTAAAACTACATCAAGTGGACTCAGACTCAAGATAGTAAGAATCTATTGGGACTTTCTCGGTTAACATATTAGTCATTATAACCTAGGATGGTGGTTGGTACACACCTGTTTCCATTGTTTGGCAGCTCAAAGCAAGTACAAGTTTGAAGTAAATCTGAGCTACATAATAAGGTATATCGCAAACAAACAATAAGTTTATGAAATTCTAACCAGAACTTTCTGTTAAGCAACCCCATCTTGTAAATGCATGGTGTAAGTCATTTGTGTTGTTGGTACAGTATTCTCTAATAGGCTGCCTCATTCTCTTTAATGCTCACTTGAATATAAATATTTTCCCTGCACATAATAGTGCTTTCATTGTTCACTGGTTATAAGACCCTGATGTGTACTTGTAATGACTGCGTTACTCTCTGCGGTACAGTTGGCGCTACTGGACCATGCGAGCCAGGCAAGGGCCTGGAGATTAAAGGAACATACAAGACACATGGGTCATTCGTGAGGAGAGAATGCCAAATGCCATCTATTCAAACTTAGAAAAAAACCTTATATACCTAGCTGCTGCACAATGGAAATCCCCCCAAGACAGGTGGGAAATTATCAGGCTCAAAAGTAAACAAAACCCCTAAGCTAACCACCAGTGGGGTCAGAGGTAGCACAGGAACAAAGAGGATGTTTAGCCGGAAACTGCAACAACAAGTTTGGCCAGAAACTACAAGCGATCCTCAGTATGAACCCTTGGAGGAGGTGTAGACCTGTGGGCCCTACATGCACTTATTATGGTCTTAGTTAAGTTACTAAGTATATGTGAGAATAATTTTTAAATTCTTTGTTACTATTTTTAATGATAGGATTTTACTGTGTGACTATGTAGCTTAGGGTAGCCTCAGTTAGTGATATTGACTTAACCATACAAGAAATGGAATTACAGGCTTGTACGACACACCTAACTTTCATATGTATGAATGTGCACGTGTGTGTGTGTGTGTGTGTGTGTGTGTGTGTGTGTCTTTCATAGTGTTAGGCTTATCCTGCTCACTGTCCACACAGATGGCTTAGAGGCATAGGCTACCAACGGTTTTTATTTTGAAAATAATCAGACTTGATTTCTTTTAATATAACAATATTGTTAATACTTATTTTATACATAATTCACTTAAAGATTGTTTTTGTTTTATTACAAATGTATACTCCAAAATTATTATTTTTCTTTCATAACCTGATGAACTTTCCCATCAAAATAATTAAATAAAGTTATAGCACCTTTAAACAAAAGTTGGAATTATATAATTTTTTGTGAGGATGATTTTAGCTAAAAGTTTACATGGAAATGTGCCCTTGCTACAATGAATGTTTTACTTATTCCTTCAGGGTCCTGGATGTCCGAGACTTCATAATACAGTCCCGTCCTGAGTTTGCAACAACAGACTTTATTCTTGTGACTTCGTTTCCAAGTAAAGAGCTAACAGATGAAAGTCAGACACTACAAGAAGCAGATATTCTTAATACTGTGATACTCCAACAGCTAAAATAGTATTGTTCCAACCCATGTAGGAATAGGTAATGTTGTACACACTGGTAAAATATTTCCAGCATAAAAACAACCAAATTATTTTTATTATTCAGATAAATCCTGTTTTTGCTGTTGATCTATCTTCCAGTATTTGTCTAGATAAATTTAAACCACGGATAGATCTTTGAATTTTTGAATGTTTGAACTTTTAGTTGCAGGTCAGGCTTTTAGTGATTGATAGCTATAAACATCGAGGTCAGCAATTTATTACGTGCTCAGTGTTAATGTAATAATGTTTTCAGAAGTGGAAAGAATCTCTTTTGGTAAATGCATTTGGTAAAATTTGCACTCAAGTTTTTTAATGCACCAATGACCAGTAACCAGTAAGGATCCCTTTTTCTGTAATATATGCCAGTGTCTGCTCTGAGTTTGAAATTGTTTGATCATAAAGTAATTAAGATTTTACATATTGTTAATTTTTACATGTCATTTGAACTATGTTAGTATCACTGAGTATATTTTGCCCTTGTATTTTATAAAATTACAACTAAATCTTAGTAGCTGTAAAGGTCATCCGCTCCACTCTTGAGAAGATGGGATAAACAGAACTTTAAAGTCAAGACATTGCAGTCCCATCCGACCTGCCTTGATCACATTCATTTTCATCCAGCATTTTAACAGGGATCTGTTAAACTAGAAACATTATTGTTGGTGTGTAACACAGAATGTGTTCTTCAACATGTGAACTCAGTCTGAGAGGCTGGAGCAAAAACTGCCAGCAAGATGTTAGTGTTTTCCTTGTCCAGGCACATCTTGAGTGATGCAGGCAGTATCGAACAATGGGAAAGCTTGCTTCCCTGCAGACACCATTCCATTCTTAGTATTGTGGCTGTGTACTTTTCGGTTGCTGATGTAAGAAAATACAGAGCTTGTGACTGAAGTAGCAGAGATTTATTATGTTAAAAGTATGTAGATCGGATATTAAAAACGAGTTTCTCTACGCTAGAATTAAGGTGTCAGTGGGACTGCATGGAGACTCCAGAGAATTTTTGCCTGGCTGCTGAGCCTCCAGAGGCCGCCTGTGTTCCTTACCCGTGGTGCTCAAACTCCTCTGACTGCCAGCACTTTCACCTCCCTGAGCCTTCTGTAACTACAGTGTGCTCTGCTTTCGAGGACATAAAGACAAGACAGGATGCACAGGTGAACCCAAGCTCATTGCCTAGCGTTAGCTTTATAGTGACCTTAATCATCCTTCAGGGTTGCTCTTTTCCACTTCAGTTACACCTTCTTGGGAGTGGGGGAGTTGATACAGTTGCTTACCACAGCCCACATTGTCTCAGAGATTCACCTACTAAATACACTCACCCCATTCATCCACAGGTGCTCAGAAATCTCAGCGTATCACTTCAACTCACTTACCTGAATTTCATTGGTTTCAAAAGTCCCAAATCTTGTTAAGATGACCTAAATTAAGTGGAGATTCATCTCTGCCTATTGTTGAAATAGGAGCTGTGGGGCTGCGCCCCCGGCACCCAGCCACCCCCACGGCTATACCCAAAATAATTACCCGGAAACTGTATTCTTTTAAACACCGCTTGGCCCATTTCTATCTAGCCTCTTCTAGGCTAGCTCTCGCACCTGGACTAGCCCATTTCTAATAATCTGTGTAGCCCACGAGCTGGCTTACCAGGAATGATCTTAACCTGCATCTGCCTGGAATGGGAGAATCATGGCGACTCTCTGACTCAGCTTCTTTCTCCCAGCCTTCCGTTCTGTTTACTCCACCCACCTAAGGGTGGGCCTATCAAATGGGCCTAGCAGTTTCTTTATTGCTTAACCAATGAAATCAACAGATTGATATATGACACTCCCCCCATCAGCCTATGACACTAAAAATGAACTATCTCTTCACAGATAAATGTCAGGACAGCTATAGAATAAGCTATAAACATTGATGTGTAAAAGGCAGGCAACAGTGAAAAGCAGAGCCACTGTTACCGAGAAACCTGCAAATCAGCCAGACCTTCCATCAATGTCTAAGGCCCACCATTAACGTATGGCTCTTGTAACTTAGTCCTTTGAGTTTGGACTGTCTACATCACCTTCCTTTCGCAGAAGACACACAGCTTGTTTTTTCTTCTCATAATGTGCTGTGTGCTTTTCATTTTACAATAGCAGTGATCTGTGAAAAAACTCACGGATCGCCTGTGTGTCATGGAGATTGGCTCCATTAAACAGGAAGCTCTTCCAAGCAACTTTCTATAACAGAAATAATCCCATCTCTAAGTTTTAGTTCTTCAGAGAAAACAGAACTGTGTCATACCCTTGAGAGCCTTTTGCGTGACTTAATATGCAGACCACTTCGTTACATGTGTGGTGTACTGCTTGTGTACATGTTTGGATGTGTGTCTGGAAGAAGCCTGAATTGACGTTGGGAGTCTTCCTCAGTCTTTTTCCACCATATTCATTGAGGCAGATCTCAGTTAAAGCCAGAGCTCACCACCGCAGCGGTTGGCTAGGCTGTCTTCACCTTCCCTGTATTGGATTGTGGGCACCCATCCTACCCAGCCAGCATGACAAGCACTTTAGCTACTGAGCCATCCCAGCCTTTTGTGTTATCTGAGGGCTGTGCACCCACACCCTCGTTTTTCTGCTTCAGGCTTTCCTGCCGGTGATGTCATTTGTAAATTACCTTTCTTCTTAAGTGTCTGTCATGAGGTAGGCTGAGAGCTCCCTAGCCCTGGTTTCTCTTTATGTATCACCTTTTCACACAGCGTTTCTATTTCCTATCAAACTTTACTTCACCCAGAAAGAAGCAGGTTAAAATTTTCCTGAATTCCAGCTTAGTCTCAAGCTCCTCATGTCCAGCCCTGCTTTGCACATGACTGTACAATTCGGCTAAGCTTGAGTTTCCAATAGTGCTTCCTCCTGCTCTGAGCCCTCAGCAGCAGAGCCTTTAACATCACCTTTTCTAAAGGCTGCTCCGTCTAGACATTCTCTGGGGACGTAGGTTTTCTCTACCAAGTCTGAGCTCCTTCCAAGCTCTCTCCAGCACTATCCTGTTCTGCTAACAGTATGAATAAAGCAGGCTGAGCTCTTCTGTCACCATTCTCAAAACTGCCTTAGCCTCTGCACTGAGGCTGTATGTAATCCAAAACTGGGATTGTTGCCACCTCCTGGTTGACTAGAATATGTTATAAGGGACCTAGAAGTCTCTGGTTATTGCAAGGAAGCGAGCTGGGGAGTTTTGTTTTGTTGTTTGTTTTGTTTTATTTTTAAGAAGGGTCTCACTGTATATTCCTGGCTGGTCTGGCACTCTAATGATTGTAGACCATGCTGGTCTTAAACTCACAGGAATCCACCTGCCGCTGCTTCCTAAGTGCTAGGATTAAAGGTCAGAGTGACCAGAGAAGACTTCAAGTACTGAGACTGTGGCTACAACATTTCTATGCAGAATTTTTCTCAATCACATAAAGAAAAAAGATTTTCTCAAACAATACAGGCCCAGCCCTGCTCCTTTGGGTTTGTTAAACACAATGTGGGTAACAGCTGTAATTCAAAAGATTATACCTGATAATACCTGATACCAACTTCAGAGCTAAGGAGAGACCACTGTGACATAGGGGCCAGCCTGCGTTACCTTGTGAGACTTTCCTAAAATAAACAAAAGCAGATAAACTTTCACGTGGAGCAAATCAGGGTGGGCGGGATGGGATCAGCAGCTGGAGCAGGAGGGAGGAGACCACACGCGCGCGTGCGCACGTGACACACACACACACACACACACACACACACACACACACGGAAAGCCTGGCAGGCATGGTGGCCTCCTCCAGTCTCAGCATCTCGCAGGCAGAGGTGATTGCTGCAGCACAGGGCTAATTAGACTAACTGAATGGGATAGCTCCAGGTTAAGGAAGAGCCCCCCTTCAATAAAGAACAAGGTGAACACTGTCAACTTCAGGCCTCTAAGTATACACATGGGCTTGTGAACTAGAATGTATGTGCGTGCGTGCGTGTGTCCCAAACACACATACAGACTAATAGTACCATAGTCATTGTAAATAATAGGGCATTACCTGTATTAAAACAGGAAAAACATGTCCAAACCTTGTAAAATAATTTGAATTTTTCTTGTAGTTTTTTTAATCAGTTGTGTTAAGTACCTACAAATGCTTGAAAAAAAAAAAGACTGCCATTTTTGCGTTCTTTCTGTCCAAAAGACAGAGGTGTCTGTTAGGACAAGAAGTGAAGGCCCATATGATGATGACCAGTCCTTTCACAGATATTACAAGCTTTATTGAGAATCTGTTTGTACTGTAGTACTGGAACATTTTATTTATTTATTTTTATTTATTAGATTTTTTTTTAAAAAAATACCAATCCAAGTTCCCACTCCCTCCTCTCCTCCCCTTTCTTCCACACACCCTCTCACCCCACTCCCATCTAATCCTCAGGGAGGATAAGGCACATTGCCTTGTGGAAGGTCCAAGACCCTCCCTACTATATCTAGACTGAGCAAGGTATCCACGCAAACAGAATGGGTTCCCAAAAAGCCAATACGTGCAGTAGGAATAAATCCTGGTGCCCCTGCCAGTGGCCCCGCAGTCTGCCCCAGCCATGCAACTGTCAGCCATCTTCAGAGGGACTGTAACATTTTAAATGCATCATCAGCATAAAGCAAGGTGGCACAGTGAGTGGTCAGACGACTGTCTGGGGACAGTTGTTTTAAATGATGATATAATGCAATAAAAAATAGTTTGCAGTGTCTGCTTACAAATTATGTTTTCATTCAAGCTCGTTGAATATGCTTTTTAAAATTGGGCTTTATGTGTAGCTTGATTTCAGTGGTTTACTGGGTTGCTTTGAACTTGAGTCTTTATTTGGCTTAATTGCCCCTTGTTTGGGGGCAGAGAAGGGCCTGAGGTAAGGCATTGTCACCTGAGTTTTCCGTGGTTGTTTCTGGCTTTATTCTACTACACGAACAGATTCAGGTACCTCCTGACTGTTTGCCCCTGTGTATTTCTGAAAACATTCGCATAAAGTGTATTATATTAAGATGCATTCAGTTTTCCCTGTAAGAGTTTGTATCCATCTTGATACATACATCTTTGGCCAGTAGTGCCAAAAGTTGAAGAAATTTTTATAATCTGTAAAATATTTAGTGTTTCTTTGAATTTCAATTAAAGAGTTTATAAAAGAACTGCTGCATATGTAAATTGTGTTCACAAGTCTGTGCAAGTGCATCTGTGTGTGCATGCATGTGTTTATACAGCCCGGAACAATGACCATGTGACTTACACATAATAACACATAGCTTTGCAGTTTTCCCTCTTAAAGACCACAGGGCTGTGACGTAGAGGCCATGGGGAGAGTCCTCTTCAGACAGGTCAAACTTAATGGCCTCTTTTCCTTTAGATAAATGTTTTTCCGAGAAAGCAGGAAGACTCAGGACTCTACAACTACCTGAAGAGTTCCTTGAATGCTGCAGTTGACTTCAGAGGGAGCTCCTAACAGGAAGGACATCAGAAAGAAAGCTAGCAGTCACCACTGATTGTATGATAGATGACACTCCCTTTTATTGCAAGATCAAATAAATGACTAGTAATTCAGTAGGGTGGACTTAAAGACCTTGCACAGAATCAGCAACACAATCCTTCTTTCTGTTGACAAGCTAAGGACTGTATGCTAATAAGCAGCACAAAAAAGGGTCAACAGGTTAAAGACTAATGCTAAAAAGAAATCTCACAGTAGCCCAGAATTGAATGTAATAAAGGGTTATTTATTTAGGGGTAGACTCACAGATCACAGTCCTCTGCTCGAGCAGGGAACAGCAACCAAATCCCAAAGCCAGAAGAGAAGGCAATGGTGCATTTTACATCGGCATATATAGTATAAGAGGCCACACCCAAGTGGGCAGGTAACTTAAAGGCTACTGGCTATAGGAATTCCTACAGCACCTCCCCCTTTTGTTTAAATAAGAGTTCTAAGCCTAATACAAAATTATATACAATAAGAACAGATATCAGTTATAAAAATAAGAATTACAACCAGCATAAACAATATCAAGCAAGAAACGTGATAAATGTTTCAATAATTACCCTATTCTAAGGAGTTTAAGTCTTGTATTATAAATAACTTGGCCAAGTCATGAGTGGAAAATAACTACAACTATCTAGTCTTCAACCCCCATCAAAGACCTGAGAAGGGAAATATTACTTGAATAAGCAGGAAGTGTAATCAAGCAACTTCCAAAATGTGCAACAAATGACGGAGACAACTGGCTACCTGGGCGATCAAAGTCTCATTTGCAACATTGGAGCAACCAACTTTGGCTAAGGCCTAGAGTAACTGACAGACCATTTTAAGAGGCAGGAAATTTTTCAAAACTGTCTTACCCTGTCTTGGCAAGATTTGACAGTCTTTTTTGCTTGTATCCTGCTTGTCCTGTCTGGACATCATGCATTTTGTCAGTGGTCAATGCATGGGCAGTTCCTTGCCCAAAGACAAGTTTTGCCAAGAAAAAAACAAGCTCCAAGTGGAGTGTCTTCGGTGCTCAACATTCTCTCGAGAATAGATCGATGCTGCCAGGAACAATCCTGTCTCACA